CCACCTCCTGTAGTTTGTGCTGGCCAAATTTCAGGTGTGTACGACCTTCCCTGTAGGAGGAGACGGATTGTGAAAATGCACCTTGCACTAGTGTGTTCGGACCCAAATTAGTTTTAGCGCTTAAATCAGCACCGTAAAGCTCCGTATGATGAGCAATGATACGATCAGTCAGATCTGATTGGCATCTGAGGGAAAAAGTGTTTGCCGGCATTAAACCATGTGAGAAAGGCAGCTTTGGTAAAATGATTTATTTGGTTTCTATGCAGATAGACTCCCCTGGAAAATGACTGCAATCAATCTGGAATTACTATTTCTTCCTAAATAGAGTTATTCAAGTCATTTAGTGACAATTTGTTTTTGTTTTTTTTTGTTTTAAATTACAGAAACAAAATATAACATCAGATTATCGTGCAGCTCGAACTAAGTTCATGAGGGCTCGAAAACGTAAGAAAATTAAGATTTGATCAGCTGCTCAGTCATTCGTTCACTCCGTTTGTGACATTACAGTGTCTTAAATTTAGCAAATTACCAAAAGTGATAAAGCCACGAGCATCTGGAAATCCAAACAGCTCTACAGAAGTGCAACAATAAACCTGATAGTTCAACTTCTCTACTGCCTCATCTATGCTGGGCTTCAGAGCATTTTGCGTTTCTACAGGACAACCTCGTTCATACGTCAACTTCCTTATGAATTACGGGTTCAGAACTCAGAAACATCTACAGATACGTGAAGTCAGAAAAGCATCATTTAGTGTAAACGCACCTTAAAGTCAGTGTGTTGGGATTAATCAGCGACTTTTCACTTGATGTGAAACTGTGAAGGTTCAGAGCAGATATGAACACAGCAAACATTCTCATGAGGACACAAATGCAACCCGACGCTTTGACCACAGTGTAAAAAAAAGGAGATTTATTTCATAGTATTTTCCCGAGAGTCTGTGTGTAACGCTCAGGAGACGACAAACTAAAAAAAAAAAACAGAATCACAAACTAACAGATACTCAGAAGATAACATGATTGTCACCACATTCCCCAAAACTGGTGAGTACAAAGACGTGACGGAGTCGGGCGCAGGTTGTAGTCAGAATATAAAAACCATAAAAATGTGATTGTCTGTGGTTCACGAGCTGCTGCTGAAGAAGAAGAAGACAAACGTCCTGCACCCTTTAGATCCATCTCAAGTTTTACAAATGTTTCCCCTCGTCATGATAAACTCTGACATCTCTAACAGGTTGGTTCATTCCAGTGCATTCACCAAAAACATAGAAAGATTGTTTTTTTTTTTGTGATCTTTTAACGTTGCACATATAACACACAGGTGTTCAGTGATGTAGGAGTTTGTCTGCGGTGAAGGCGACGCTCTTCTGCATCAACAAAAGGAAAAACAACAACACAGGAGGAAGTTTCCAGTTTAAATCCGCAGCTCGTGTTTGTAACGTCAGACGGAAACGTCTTCGTCAGTAAACGTGTGGTTAAAGTTTTCCAGCTTCTCTAAGCTCGCTCCAGCTTCTGATCTTTATCTGTTAACAGTTTTATTATATAAGAGCTACAAGGCACTTGAAGATCTGCTGCAGCTTCCCACAATGCACCAAAACACAGCGACTGAGTTCTACGTGATTCTGGACAGCGGCGGCTATAAAACCCTGACGCTGCAGCTGCTGTACAGTCTGCAGCACCTCCAGGTTCTGCCTCTCATGTGATCAACGTTACAGTCTGGTAACAGAGAAAACAGTCAGAAAACTTTAAGCTTTAAAAACCCACAAGATTAAAAGTATTTTAAAACTTTGGATAGCAGACGACAGCTGGACGACATTTAAAGTTTGATAAATTTGCATAAACATTCAGTGAAGCCCTTTTCAGACTCTAAAAAAGTTATTTTGTCTTCTTCGTGTCTAGATGAGCTCCATGGTAACTTTACGGTTAAAGTCACGACTGCAATCCCACTGACTCGGACACAGTCACACTTTTTCTAACAATTTTAATTTCTAACAAAGTATAGCAAAGATAAGTGACGTTCTTTAAGTGTGTGAAGCAGATTTTACCAAAACAACTTCCTCATTGGCTTCTCCTACAATTTCACGTCTAATATGAACTGAAATGACAATAAAAACACAGCTTTACTGCGTTTAAGACGGTCTGTAGGAGGTCTGACTAACAGGAAGCTGAAGTTGTTGCTTCCAGCTGTTGAGGATTACTTCCTCTGACTTTGTTAATTATCTGCGGTGCCAAACAACAGCAACAGGATCCGTGTGAGTTTCTCCAAAGAGAGGTGCACATATTTATGTACAGCAGCAGTAACTTCATTCAATAATTAGAACTAATCCCCGACATGGAGACAGGATGGATCAGATCTAGCAGCAGGTCACACTGTGTCACCGTCTTTACTTGCTTTGTATTCTTTATTTTACATTTAGATTATCACCACACATCAGTAGAACTGTCTGTTTCTAGGAACTCCTGAAAAAACCAGGCTGTTACTTAATTGGACAGTTGATAAAGGTGCAATTGAACATATTTCGTGTCTGAAAAGGGCTTTTATGTGTTTATATGCACGATTCTTTCCATTAATTCTGTCTACGACCTAAATGAGGAACTATGGCGTCTCCAGACGTCCGGACAGGAAACAAAATCTGCTTTAAAATCAGCATTTTTTTTTTAATATAAATGTTTTTTAAAAAAGCCTGTGTGGATTCTGGACATATCTTCAGAGCTCCTCTTTCAGATCAGGCTCTGATTGGCTGTAACGTCACCGTGAGAGGCACAACCTGAGGTCGGGTGTGACGGAGGGAAACTTAAAGCTCGCTCACAGACAACAGACAGAATATTTACAGCGAAGCCATCGGGCGTGTGAAGGAGGAGCAGGACGTCAGACGAGTCGGCTTTTGTTCGGGACAGGTGGTTCGTGTTCGTGGCCCGGATGGGAACAGACGAAGGAGTTCTGAGAGTCAAGGTGAAGCTGAGGAAGCCGTTACCGTGGCAACGGCCACTCCCTACAGCTCGGTGTCTTTGTATTTCTGGGGGTTGTAGTATCCTCTCTTGGTCTGGTCGGCCAGCTGCCGCCGGTACTCGGCCTCGTCGTCCTCGTGGCCCCTCGACTCCGAGTACGACGGCCTGGACGGGGTCTGGGGCTCGGGGTTGGAGCTGGAACTGATCAAACACAAACACAGCAGGTCAGACACTCAGCTTAACAGAGATGTTTTATTCTAAAAGTCTGGGAGGACGGTGATGCTCTGGCTCTCTCACCCGATTGGCTGAGGACGGTTGTGGTTGGGTTTTGGCAGCTTCACTGGGACGGCGTAAATGTCCGGATGCTTCTGGGCGATTTCCAGCTGAGTAGAAAAAAGAAACAGACCCGGACGTGTCAGAAGTTATTAAAACAAACAAACAAAAAAAAACTTTACATGAATCCCAAGAGGTTGGACGTGTTTTGGCAGCTTTCTCCATCTTTGTTTACTGAAAAAATAGTTCACATTATTTTATGACTATCTTAAAACAATTAATCCTACGGTGGAGCTTCTTCCCTTTTCCAGACTAGATCTACATTCTATAGTTCTGCAAATGATTTAAGTCAAATCACACCTGTAACATGGATTTTCACAATAAGAGCTGAACAAACGAGCCCTGCTGCCATTCAATCTGTTTCCTTTTTTTTTTTTCTTAAAGACCAAACAGTGAAGTTGCTGCTCTGTGTGTGATGACGCTGCTAAAACAAGTCAAGCAGAAGCTCCCCTGATTTGTGCAGAAGCCTCACGTTAACTGAACTTCAGAGTTAGTTTCTGTCCACACTGAGCTGTGAGGACGGACACAGAACCAGCTTGTGGTGTTTAAAGAAAGACTTGATTTTACTTCAGCCTGCCTTCAATTTCTCTGATCACTTATTTTACAACAAAATCAAAAAAGACCTTGAATCCAACGACATTTTCTTCCCCCAAAGCAGAAAAACAAATCAGAGACAAAAGCTAGAAAGATGTTTCCCCGTGCTGAATGTATCCTCTATCTGTCTGTCGTTTTATTGAATTCATCAGTTCAGTTGAATTTTCGTCATTCTCTCTCTTTTATCTCATCCAGCCAGCTCTGAAAAAACTCAGCCTGCAGTTCATCTGAATATTCACTGAATTATTATCACATGACTGTTGGTGGCAGCAGCTGTGGATCCTCAGTTGAGCTAAAGAGCGCAGGTTTGTTCTGCTGTTTACAGGATCTGTTTTCATTTTGATGAAGTGTCATAATGTTAGATTCTGATCATTTTCCTGAAGGAACCATAGAGGGCACATAAATGATCTAAGGGCTGTAGGAAAGTTAAAAATCAAACATTTCTGGCTACAAAATGTGTAATTAAGTTTATTTAATTTAATTCAATTTAGCTGTCTTTTAAGGAAACACCTTTCAAATCCTCGGAATGAAGGTGAAACCAAACCTCCATATTTCCAAGATACACTATAAAAACACAGTCAACTACAAACCTCCTGTTCAGGCTCTGAAGCTTTCAGTTTCATCTGTTTACTGCTCTAACATTATTATTAATAATAATAATAATAATAATAATAATAATAACTAGTACTGACTCGAGCGTTTTCCGCCTCCTGCAGCTCCAGCAGCCTCTGAGCTCGGGCCAGGTGGTCCATCTTCTCAAACGCTTTGATCTGGAAGAAAATCAATAAACACAAATCAACTTTCTGTTCTCGATGAAGCGAAACAATAGATGGTGAACATCCACGGGGCATGAATCACATGGGAGTGACGGTCAGATGAAACAGTGACTGTTATGGGTTGAGAGGAGGGCCGCAGACACAGGAGGTGAACGCTGACGTTACCTGGTCACCCGTTTTCTAATTCGTTTTAGAAGCAGAGAAAGTAAAAGAGGAAGAAAAAGGAATTTAAGAACCGAGCCTCTAAACATGAAACATGTCAGATTGTGTTTCTTAAAAGAGGAAATCTGAGGAGCAACAAGTCAGAATGTGTTGAAGCTACAGAAGAAGAGACGAGTCACCTTTCCCAGGAAGGACTTGTTGGCCGGGTCCTCCTCGTCCTCCTTGCCTGGACTCTGCTCCTCTGACGACTGGTGCAGTCGGCCGATGTTGGGCTTCATGGCCACCGGTGGAGGCGGCGGCTTGCTCCCTCCGGCCGCGTCGCTGCTGATGGTGCTGCTTGAGTGCGACTCGTAGCTCCGCGTCGAGTCGGTCCGAGTCTGACCACGAACCTGGAACATGGAGAGGAGAATGTCAACATAATCTGGAATCCTGTAAATATCTATTTAACCCTCCTATTATCTTTGGGGTCAATGATTAACATCTGTAAATAAGTGACATCATTGTTTCAGTTGTATTTAAAGAACTATTTACACATAAACTCTGGAACCAATTTTAATGATGATATTTTCTGGACGTTTAAATTGCTGGAGTCAAAATGAACCCAAGGATAAAAGATGTCAGTACATCTGAAGGTAACAGGAGGATTAACCTTTATTTAACACTTTCTGTAGGTTCAGGAACTTCAGAGATGTTGCTGATAAGCTTTTCCTTTCCTCAGCATCTTAAAACCACGACTGCAGACGAGTTTATTTAATTAAAAAGCTTCAACAAAACACCTTGGAGCTAAAAGAAAACAGACCAAGTCAAGCGAGCGTTTGGGACGACTGCTGTCAAGTCTAGTTCTGGTCTTAGTCATTTTATATATGTGCAAACAGAAGTGATCAAGAAAGTCGGAAACACTGATCATGCTCAAATGTTTTATCTCAGTAGATATTCAGAAGTTTTGATGATCGTGAGATTACCAGAAAAAAAACTTTAATTTGAATTTAAACACCTTAAATTGAGTTTAACTATTTTATCATTAAGGCACACAGGTTTTAATTTTAATGTTAACTCAACACACACGTATACAAATAAATTAGGAGTGATGTCATCTTGCACATTATTAAAGGCAAATAAATAATAATAAAAAGGTAAACTGAGGTCAAGATTCCTATTTTAAATTTCGTAGCTGGTTCATATGATCAAACTTTTGCATTTTCGTCACATTCTTTGGTGCTATTTTGCATCTGATGCTTTCAAATGAAACGGTCACATCCTGTTAAACTAATTTCTTATTGCCACTGCTGTGTGTCTATTGCTGCTACATGTTGCTGTTGATTCATCACCAAGGCATGAAGAAGAGAGCGCTATCTGGCTAATCTTAATTCTTTTTTATAGGGCTTCAGATAACAATGACTTGAAGGAACGCTAGCTTCTTTAGAGCTGCGTTTCAACGTCCATACTGTATAATAATCTAGGAAGCCCCAACATCGTGCATCAACTGCAGTAAAGCCACAATCCTTTGCACAGTTATGTCACACACAAGTATGAAGGAGCCTGAGCTGCCGCCAGCAGACAAACACACGACGTGACAGGTGATTACTGACCACAGGTGAGTGCAGTGGAGTGGTGTTAGAGGGGAGCAGGTGGGGGAGTCTCACCTTGGGGGGTTCGGGGACAAACGAAGGGGGAGGGCTGGGCTCTCGGTGCAGAACCTCTCTGCTGCCCGACCTCCTCATACGAGCCCGAGGTTCAGGGTGAGGCCTCTACACAAACACAACACAGGAGGGCGGCGGGTTTAGACACACAAACACACACATGGTGACGACGACAGCGGTGGACGTTAGCGGGTCGGAGCTCCAGACTTACTTTAGCCCCTCCCTCAATGTTGTAAAATATCTTTAAAATATATTAAATGTGTCGCCAGTCTTTCTCTGATATCGCTCCCATGAACGCCTCACCTGACAAACTCATCGATACAGTTCAGTTTCATCTTATTGCTCTTCCAGTGCAACAGCATCATTAAACAGTTTTCTCTCTGCAGCCGTCAACAACATTCATGTAACGCTGCTTTTCTTCCTTTTAGTGTAAAAGAAACCGATATTTGTCTCTATAAAGCTCAACAACTACAATTAGCACTGATTTCTGTCTTAATAGCTCTTCTGGATCAACAACAGAACACGGTCCTCCTAAAGCTCATCATGTGCAGCATCATGTTTGTCTCGATAATGTTTTGAGTGCAACAACAGAAATGTGTGTTTTTTTGTCTAAAAGTATAAATCTGTACATGTGACAGCTGAACATCATCTCTATTATGTCATTATTATTAGCCAGGCTTCATCTGGAACATAAATTACAGACATTTCCTCAGTGAGAGATCAATAAAGTTAATCTGTACTGTTCACTTTTTACTGGTATAATCATTATTTTTATCTTATTATATTTCATTACTGTATCATGCTTATATATTATTGCTTTCTACATATTAGGCACTACATTTCTTTTGTTTTTTTTCTGAGTAACCTCTGGTAAACATCAGCCAGGTGACGGCAGCACAGCAGCAGCTCAGACAGTTGTAAAGACCGAAAATTAGTTGGGAGTGATTTTTAAATACGGTTTCTACATTTTAAATATTAATACAGCATTTGATCACGTTTATTTAACTGTAAGAAGCCAAAATTGTTGTCAATAATAATTTCAGTTTTGCAGCTCCAGCACTGCATAAGTCATCATGAGTGAACGTAGGAGTCGACTTTTGTCTTGTTAGCAGACTCAGTCGGTGTTATCCTGCCTCTAAATCTGACATCAACCTCAACACCAGCCTCCTCTCTGTTCTCAGTTTAAATCAGTTTCATTATTCAAACACAGTGACGGTGAATTAGATCGCTGTCAGACTGAGCTGAAAATGAAGAAGTACTATTCCTAATCACAACAGCTAACACGGTAGCAGCTCACGCTAGCAGAGTGTGATCAGGTGGCCATGTTTCAGTCTGGAGCCCTGAGTGTTGATGTTAAGCGTCTTCTATCCTAAATACCGGTACAGGATTTATATTAACTCACCTCGTCTGGCAGCACCGGCTCTGACGACCGGCTGATGGCCGAAACCGGCTGAGGTTCGTCCAGCGCCTCGTCCAGCTCGTTGTCGGTGTAAGCTCCGCCCTCGTCCGCCGTGTCCTCGTAGTCGCTGGTCAGACGGCTGTCCATGCTCAGGTAGTCGGCGCTCATCGCCGACAGGTAGGACATGCGGTCGTCGTGCAGGTCCAGGTCTTCTTCTGAACCGTCCAGCTGAGGAGAGGAAGTGACGGGATAGTTAGTGCTTACACAGAGAAGGCATGAGAACAGATTTTCAAAGATGTCTGGCAGATAAAAAACCCTCCAGAATCCAGATGAGTGGGCTAACAAAGCTAAGCTAAGCCTCACCTTGCCCTCACACACCCACACGGCTCGGTCCTGCTGCTCCCGGATCGAGTCTTTGATGCTGCCGTACCAGGCGTCGTTGGCCGAGTTCAGGTCGATGGTTGCTGAATAAGCAGAAAAACAAAACTTACAACATGAGTTAAGAGGCAACAACTTTCACATTTATGCACATAGTAAATGTTTCTATTACCTTTTTATCACCTAAAATCCCCTGGATTCACTTCATATGCTGTTTTTTTGACTCCTAACACTTGATTTGTGTTTAAAGCTTTTCATCCTTCTTTGTAAATTCTCTACTTAACTGTAATGTGCTTGATGTTTTATGTACTGTTGTGTATTTGAAACCACATTTGGCAAGAAAACCGATTCTGGAAATTGTAAGTGTGAATCATAAAAGGTTTATTCCATGTGTCTTTTAATATCTGTATTCTATAAAAACGTGGAATTTCGACAGGTGAGGGGTAACGAAGGAGAGAACTGTGGCGGCCTGAGGGAGAAATATTTGAAAAAGATTCGTTAAAACACGCTCATTTGTAGTTACTTGAAGTATTTTAACTCTAACAGTCATTATTTAGAAAAACAGAACAGATTTGGGAGCCGAACACATTAATAAGACAAAAACAAGAAGACAACCAGACAAAAGCATGTTGGAAATCAGCTCAGGAACATCAGAGCAGTGTTTTGTTTTGTTTTTTTAACAGGAGTCCAACATCACACTTCACACATTTTAGACGTGTCAGGAACATGTTCGTGTTGTTTGTCAAAAAACCTACAATTTTCACATTTCTGCACCGCGTCCACTTAGAAAAACTGCAGGCTACGAAGCTAAAGCTGCAGGAAGACAAACTCCATTTTTATCTCATAGGTGGCCTATTTTGAAAAAGAAAGATGAACATTTTCTGTTGAAAAGTGATGAGTTTGCGTCTCTGAAAAGGCCTCTCATTCAAACATCCATGTCTGATTTATTCCTCCAGGTCAAAACCTGCTTTACTCTGCTAGATCACCGTGGCTACTTATGTTTAGAGTTTGACCGAATAGTTTATTTATTTAATATTACCAGTATTACTAATACTTCTGGCCTTGTCCTAATGGTTTTACCCTCTATTTTCCTTCACTTGGATGTGGCTTTTTTGGTTCTCTTTATATCATATGTTGTTGTTGTTCAATAGTCTACTTTTTGTCTTTGTGAACTCTATTTCAAACAGGTGCCACATAAATAAAGTTACTCCTATTATAACACAATCTACCTACATATTACACGTCTATTTGGTGCAGAAGCAGAGTCCTGTGATGCGCCGCTTTAGTTCAAGTTCGAAGCAGAAAGCCTGAGTTAACGAAGAACGTTGGCAACTCCCTTCGTGATACCCGTTATCTCTGACTGGGGTTACATGATCCTGTTAACGTCCACATTGAGGGTAAAACCCACCAGTGAAGAGGTGCGAGCAGGTCTTCCTCAGCTTGACCGCCTGCTCGTACAGTTTCCTGGCGCTGCGGTTGGATCCCGGCATCAGGCGGCTCCTCATGGTCTTGACGCCCTGCTTGCTGTCGGGGTTCAGGAAGATGACGATGGGATACCACTGGGTGTAGTTCAGGGTGTCCACGGCTTTGGGAGTCACGTCCAGCAGAGCGTGGCGGTCCTGGAGCAGCAGCAGGAGGTTAAATATCGCACAACGTAACGGCATTCACATAAAACAGCATCGCTTCTCCGCTGTACCTGTTCAATGATCTGTCGGATGGTGTTCAGTCTCACCACGCCGGAGGATTTCTCAGTTCCTGCGTCCTTTGGTTCCGTTTCTGAAAGAAGAGAGAAGATTAATCACAAAGCAGACGACTTGTTTTTGTCGCTACTGTGTTATTTTAAGTGGAGACGACACTTACTGGCGACAACAAAGTCGTTGGGAATGTCGTTGGCCAGTTTATCGTTCACCGCATCAGAAATGGGTCCAAATATCACCACAGGTCTCTTGAAGCCAGCTGAACAAAACAACAGACAGGATGTTAACTCAGGACAAACACGCGGCAGCATCTAAACCTCAGGAGGACATTTTATTTGGTACCTTCTCGTAACACCACCCTCTCGTAGGCGGGGAACCGAGTGGTCACCGGGGCAGCACTCAGGTCCTCCCGGCTCTTGCGAAGGTCTTTCTTCTTGGCTGCTCTTTGGCCTCGGAGCCTCCAGAAGTCTCCTCTGTCGTTGCCCGATGCAGCCCGAGCAGCGTTCTGGACGTTCGACATCTGCTCCGCTCTGTGGGACAAAGTTTACAAAAGAAATGTGAGGTCTCGAGAAGTTTCACGTACGCTCTCGGCATGTTTCTGACGACTGCTGATGTACAGCTGTTGGATCTAGGTGTTGCTAGCAGCTGCTTTTCAGCCACTAAACGAAGAATGAAGAGTTTGTGCTGGTAGTTTGCCAACAATAACATTACACAGAATATTATTTTTGTCTTGTTTTTAATCCCACAAACTCCCTGCGGAGGTCCTGACTCCCTTCTTTCAGTTTGCCAACAAACACGGACGTATTTGGTTTTGCAAAATTCACTGCATTGATTTTCTTTGATTTCTAACGTATTTTGCACAAGAGCAGCCTGAACACACACTATCCAAAGTCACAGAAAGCGCTCTAAGTCGGGTCTTGCAGCATCTTAATGACAAAAGTTACAGGGATACAAACAGGATATAAATTATAGACACTCATGTACTTCAGGCAGACATCAGTCTTGAAGTTTTATTGACTTTAAAGGCTCGGTTTCTGCATCACTTCCAGATTATGCCATTAAACTTTAAGCGAATTTCTTTCTGGCCGAACTTCATTTATTAATATAGTCAATGTGTTTCAGGAGCTACTGAACTTAATTTGCTATTTCAGTGGTTTTTGCTCCTTGTGGAATTTTTAAAGCACCTATTTCTCACCTTCAGAAGCATTTTTCTGACAAATCTTTCAGCCCACATCCAGTATATGAAGCTCCCCAACCAGCATGTACCTGCTCTTGTTGGGGATGATTCCTTTCTCCAGCAGCTGGTTGTCTTTGTTGGTGCGGATCGCCAGCCAGTTTCCCAGCTTGCCGTCATAAAGCGTGTCCGTTACTTTGAAGATCTCCCCTCTGGAGAACGGGAGGCTCTGCGGAGCCTCTTTCTCGTACTCAAAGTGGGTTCTGATGAAGAAGGAGTCGCCTCTGCCAGACGCTAAAATGTCCTTGTACACTAAAACGGGAGGAAAAGAATATCATAGTGTGCCCATCCAGGACTACACTAAGGACCACAGAATCAAGCTAAAAACAGGAAGTAGTGTTTGATCTGCTGGATCGTGGGCCTCTTTCATTTTTTACCTACATGGTCTCTGTAAATGTATTTACTCATAAATCTTGCATGTATTTTTACTGCACTGAACAGGACACATGAGCATCCTTTTTACTGCACCAAAGTGAAAGTTTTGCTTCATTTGCTGCTATGTTTATCATTGGTTTAATCGCTGACATTCGTGCTACTTTTTCTTTTTGTTAGTCGGTACCTTCAGGTTTGCTCTGTGCCAGAATGGTCACGTCTTCTCCTTTGGGGATCTCCAGCAGGTAGAGGACGGCATCTTCACGCACCATCCCCCTGAAGTCCATGTTGTTCACCTGAAACAGACAAATTAGAAGCAGCATTATGGTGCAGAATATTATTACAACACTCATACAATAAATACATTGTTTTTACACATGAAATACATTTTTGTGCAAAGTTTTCAGCTTGTGCACAAGTTAAATAAGTTATTAGGAGGTCATTAGCGAGACAGGAACTGCCAGAAAATCAGTTAATTAGAATCTACACTATTAAACCCAGTCATTATTAACTGACATTAAATTATATTAAACCAGTTGGGGGTGAATTCAGGTTAGACATTACATAACATTTTGGACCAAACCTTCAATGATTGTACAGAATGTTAATTAAACCCTTTTATAAAGTTACTTGAAGTGAAGCTAATTTAAGTTACGTTAAGCTAAGCTAGTTTAAGTTATGTTAAGTCAAACTGAGCTTAAATCTTTATTAATCTTGAAGGAAATCCTCGTGCCAGATGTTGCTCAGACGACAAAATGACACAACATGAGAAGCTGCAGTGACTCGTAGAAAAGTAATAGGAATAAAAACATGAATAAAAATACAAAGAGCAAGACTAGAACAGAAAAAACTAACACTTCCAATAATTCTGATGCAGTAAATCAATATCTCACATGATAATGAGATATGACTCATTATGTCTTTAGTCTCCATTTTCTGATCAAGATGAAAACATTCAGTGTTTTTCTATTAACTTATTTGATTCTGCAGGGTTTGAATGTGGACGTAAAGAAGCCTCACCTTCATGATCTGGTCTCCTGTTTGCAGACCCTCCTGCTCGGCTGCACTGTCCTCCTGAACGCCAGCGATGAAGATGCCCACATCGTTTCCTCCCGCCAGCCTCAGGCCGACGCTGTCGCCTTTCTGGAAACGCACCATCATCGTGTTTGGACTGCATCAAGGAGCAGAAAAAGAAGACGAACGTCACATAAAAGCTTCCCAAAAAACAAAGCACAGCAACCAGAAAAGCTTCCCTCTTTGTGAACTACGTACCCATACACTTCCTGGTCCTCCAAGCTCGGCTTCAGCGGCACCTTGGGGGGAGCGTGAACCTTCGGCGCCACGGTGACGGCTGGTCCAGGACAGAAACTTTTATTTTACTCGTTCACATTTCACTTTATTCACATGATCTGCTCTTTTAATGCAGCTTTGGACATTCAGAAGCAGAATAATGTTCACCTGGTGGCGTCGCTGATCGAGGCTCCTCCCTCTCTGCCTGCAAAGGGGGCGTGTCCTCAACGCCTCGGTCGGCGCCTCTGAACGGCGTCGGCATGGCGCCCATTTTAGCCATTCTGTTCGGTGGGTCCTCTCTGGTAACATCACAAATTTTAGCATAATCAGATGCAAAATCCAGCCACAAATACACATTTTACACTTGAATTCAAACCTTCAAAGCATTAAATTGATGCACAACAGTTTTAAATAACGCGTCATTATCACTGTTGGTAATTCTGATATTTAACGTGACGGACCGGCTGAGCTTCATGAAGCATCGATGAACATTATTCTGCTTTATCTTGGTTTATTTCTGCTGTATTTAATAATACATCAATAATAAACATCAGAGGATATTTAATTCAATCTGGGTTCATTTCCTGTGAGTTTTCTAAAAAAATAACAACAAAAATAAAGTTAAGAGAAACACATTTAACAGAAGCTTTACTTGATGTTTTCCACTACTGCATATAAACATATTTAGTTCATGACTATAAGAAGTTCTAAATTATGCAATTAAATCTTTTAATTGTGGGAAATCAATTTTGTTTTTGTGTTATTATTTACCAGTTGACACCATTTATCATCGCAAGAAACCGTAAAAACGGGAAGAATTATCCGAATGTCATCTTTCCGAGGTTCCTCTAAATGAGCTGAAGTCAGGATATTTAATCAAAATCAATTTATTCTACATGTCTCACTCAGTTCTGTTTTAGTTCATTTACCGTATTTGCATTTTAAATAGTGTGTGATATTTATGTTGTTGCTTTTGTATTAAGCAAAGCATTTCTCATGTTAGTTTGTTTAGCTTTTCTGAGCAACATCTAGCAAAAGAATTGTCTTTGGTGTTTATTAAGTTTAAACGTCATCTTAAAAATCCTTGTTTCCTGACACCTCCACGACAAATGCAACGTCTGCACGACCCACGTTAAGTGCGCTTGTTATGAATTAATTAAAAATATCCTTTAACAACTATGAATTAAAAGGAAATTCACATTTTAAAAAAAGCTATTTGCTCGTACCACCATGAAGAGCAGATGTTTGTGGGCTCAACTTGTGGAATAATCTGGACAACAATGTCAAAATGGGTACGACTATAACATAGTTTAAGAAAATGTAAGAGCTGTATAAAGTTTAAAGAAAACAGTAAGAAGAGTTATTAAGCTAAACTTCGTTCTACTCGACTTCTACTTGAGACATAATTTGGGAGTTTTTTTTGTGATTTCTCTTTTTTGTCTTTACGGTTTGTGGCATGTCAGAAATGAATTTTTAAAAGAATACCTGGGTTTGTCTCTGAGTCTCTCATTGGAGGAGTGGGAGGAGAGGTCGGAGTGATGGCCTCGTCTGTCGTCCTGCGGAGAGTACGATCGGTACGACTCGATCTCAGAGATATCTGCCGAAACAAACGACAAACATGTTGAAGCAACACTCAAGTGTCGGTAGAATATTCACATTCTGTTAGATATTTGTGAAAATGCTGAACTTCTCCTTGACGCTCTTATAATTTTTACATAATGAGGCTTTTTACGTGATTCAAATGGCCCACAGGTGATGAAAGCAGCAAAAACAGACAAATGAAGGTCAGACTTGGACTCGTAGCTGAGAACTAATTACGTGCATCAGCAGCCGCGCAGATCTTAATCACGGCAAACGAGGCGCTGAAACTTTTGACATTTACGTGTGTTTCCACAGAGCAGCAGTGACGTCGTTACAGCGGATAAATCAAGCGGTGATTTGAACTCTGCAGCTCTTAAAATCCACATTTTCTCACCATCTTTTCTTTTTGTTTTTTTACACACACCACATACAGTCACTATTGTTGTCAAAGCCGGACGGCAGAAACCAGACGGCCGCTGCGGTGCGAACCTTAACGTAATGAAATTCTGTCATATCCGATAGCGGGATTATGATTGGGGATTAGATCACCCTGCTGGAGGCGAGTGAGGACGTTCACACACACACACACACACACACACACTCAGTCCCAAAAGCAGACAAAGTGGGTCACAGGTCTTTGGGCTATTCCCCCTCCTCCCCGCTAACATTTGGTCAGTGAACAATCCACTCACACCACTTATCTCGATTGGTTCTGACCAATCGCAGCGTGCCGTCTGGTCATGTGACACCAAAAACAGGTATAAAAGAGTGAGTAATCATGAGGGTGGAAGAGTGATGGTTGTTTGGGTGACTCTCTGGTTAGCTCATAGCGCTACCACCGCTTTGTTTTTTTTAATCGTGTTTAAATAAAACTATAAACTGATGTGAGTAAAACCTTTATTATTATGAAGGGAAAACAGGTTTGATTGACAGATACAGCAACAGCAAAGCCAACAATGTTTCCACAGTTGATCAATGTGAAGTTCGTAGTGGATATATGTTGATGGTGGTGGTGGTGGTGGTGGTGGTGGTGATTCGCCTTTAAGCTGGATAGGAGCTGCTGCTTTTCAGTTTCGAGATTCTCTCACCATCGAGCTCCGAGTCGCTGTCGACCATCGGCGGGACTCGGATCAGAACCTGCCGTCGGTCTCTCTGCACCACCAGCTGCAGCTTCCCGCGAGATTTCTCGATCAGCTTGCCGGCGTCGCTCAGGGACAGGTTCTCCGTCACCGTGCCGTTGATCTGATTGACGGGGGAGGAGGGAGAGGTCAGGAGGCGTTCGGACGCTTCTCGCCGCAGAGAAACAGCAAAAACTTTCAGCTCGTTACCTTCAGTATAATGTCTCCTTCCTGCAGGTTTCCATCTCTGCTGGCTAGCCCGGTGCTGGTCATCTCCTTGATGAAGAGCTGGCTGCCCAGACGAAGTCCGTACTCTGGAAAACAACAACATTCATATAACTTGTGTCGTATCAAAAAAGCAAAAGAGTTCCTGGTTAAATCCAGTCTCGCTTCAACATTCTAGCCTTAATTTTCACAACAGCGTGTACGATATGGGGGGAAAAAACAACAATAAAAAATAAAGTCCATTAAAAGTCTGCTTTCTACAGAGTTACAGCTCGTTTGTTTCTTCATTGAGACTGTGTCACTTGTTTTGAAACAGCAGCTGTGGATGAATGAGAGTCTTTTGTCTCTTCCAGGGAACGAAATCAGGTCAGCTGAGTCAGCGACATCTTCAAGTTGCATCTTTAAACATACTGGAGAGCGTTTCCTGATTTTATTTGATTTTAATTTCCTTTGAACGGTCTATTATTTAAATTTTTTAACATGACTGGTCTAATAGGACATCCAGTGTTTATATCCGTCTCTTAAATCCTGATGACTTTACGCCTCTATGTCTTATTTCTCTTTTTGCAATTTAAATCTTGCCAAGAACTCTATAAAGATTATTCTATTTATTTAAATTATTATCATTATGTCAGAGAGGAGAAGACTGCTGCTCAATATCGAGAGGAAAGAAAAATGGCGATTGTTGTCGTCTCTAAGTTTAATCGATCACAGCTGAGACCCATGTAGCAGTTTTTCAGGGCACTTTAGAAGCAAAAGAAAGCGGTTTTTGAAAGAGGTTCTACAGACGAGGTTCTTGTAGTGAGAACATGCGCAAAAGTTTTGGGCTGCTTCGATATGGCTCATAAGTTCCTGCAGTGGAAAATGGATGATTGTTGGTGCATGCAGCCTATTAAGGCAACATTATTTCAAATTTCATCATTCATCAAAACTTGTCTATGTCACTAAACTTTGCATGCTGTAACTTGAAAGTTAGAGTGACGTCTATCAGTGTAACTTTGGTGATAACGTCTGTCAGCTTCTCACCTTCGTTGGGACGGTTCTTCAGCAGCAGCACATTCAGAGGTTTCTCCAGCGGCTCCAGGTTCGGCAGTTCTCTGGCGGGTCGAGGCAGGGGGATTGGTGCGGCGGCGGGCGATGGCGTTCGGTCCAGGCGGTCCCTGCTGCCACTCCGCTTCATCGGCTCCTCGTACTTCCTCGGGTCGCTGTGGATTCGTCCCCGCTCGAAGCTGCGGTCGCGGCCTCGTCCGGGGCTGTGGCCATCGCGTCCGTAGCGCAGGTCAGGACTGTTGGTCCGGTCCAGCGTTCGCTCGCTGCGGTAGCGTCTGTCTGGGCTGTACTCGCGGTCCAGGGCTCGCTCGCTGCGGTAGCGCCGGTCCGGACTGTGGTCTCGGTCCAAGGCGCGCTCGCTGCGGTACCTCCTGTCCGGGCTGTAGTCGCGGTCCAGCACGTGGTCGCTCCGGTAGCGGCGGTCGGGGCTGCGCTCGCGGTCCAGAGTGCGACCTCGGCTGCCGTCCCTCCGGTACTGCCGGTCCGGGCTGAGGTCTCGCTCTGTGCTGCGGCCACGTTCCCGCCGGTCATAGTCCCTGTCATAGTCGCGCTCACGTGTTTGGTAGCCAGAGTCCATGTAGCCGCCGCCGCCGCCTCGCTCCCTCTCCAGGCTGTGGTCTCGCCCGCCGCCACTCCGGCCGCTGTAGACGCTGCGGCGGTCCTGCTCGTAGTTGTATTCGTCGTTGTAGTCGTTGTTGAAGACTCTGTCGTCGGGCGACGGCGGGCGGTTCAGCAGGTTAACTGGAACCTTCCTGGGCCTCTTCACTGTCTGTTGATGAGCACAGACAGAATTTATCCATAAAATATTATTTTTTTAAAAGTCAGAGATTAAACTAAGAACAATCTAAATCAATAAATCCTAACTTTGCACAGATTAATCTTATGAGTTTGTAGCCTTTTTAGGAGCTCAACGCAGAGAGGCATCCTTGTGATTAAATTTTTCAGTGCAGCTTTAAAACCCACAAGGAATAGGAACAATTTCAGAATCAGAATCAGCTTTATTGAATTTGATTCTGATGTTTGCTCAGATCTCAAAGTAGTTAAAATAAAACACATGGGGCTACAGAACAAAAATGACAGAAATGTGTAAAAGAGCATGTTTAGAATGAACCACAGTTAGTGCAAAATACACGAAATAAACAACAGAAAGAGCAACGGGACAAAGGTTTGTGGGATTAAATATAAACAGGTGTGTGATATACAGGATGTGAATGGAAAATGAGCGTACAACTACTGTCTGCAACTGCAAAAATGTTTAAAATACCATGTTTAAAGTGGACCAGACACTTATTAAACAATAAATGTTCCTGACACCTTATAGACGTGAGGTAGTTTGATGAATGGAGCAAAGATTTCTGGGATTGCATATGAGATATAAAGCACATACTTTGGGTTGGGATTTAGAGCGAGTCGTTCCTGTTTGATGAAGAAACTGTTCTTGTGTCAGCGTTATTAAGAAGCAAACAAAACAAAAGCTTTACTCACAATTTTTGCGACTTTGCCACATTTTCTGAGGGTGGAGACGGCGAAGGAGTGCATGGCCCCCTCCATGGGGATGGCGTTCACCTGGATCACTCGGTCATTCTCGCTGAACACAAACGCAAATTCATATCAACATTGAACTAAAAGTGTATTTTCTGACTGTTCTGGGTGGAATTTAGGGATTAAGATGATAAGAAAACAACAAAAAAAAAAGGCACCCACAACAATAATCCGTCAGCCGGACCTCCCTGCAGGACGTCGGACACCACGATGGACGTCTCGCCGCTGTCCTCGTTGGGGTTGTCCCGCCCTCCCGACACGGCGATGCCGAAGCCCATCTTTGGATCCTGATGGCGACATGGCGGGAATCATGTAAATCATGTGGAATCTATTCTGCGTGTGTGAGAGAGGTCATGTAATCCGCGTGGCGTGTGTCGGCTCGCGCTGCATAATCATAGCTGCATTGTACACGGTGATCAAAGGGATTTTAAATGTGATTACAGCAGAAACATGTATGTGCACCTTCTTCTGCAGCTCCTCTGAATCACGACGCTAATCCTCGGCTTCGTAAAATTCTCAAGTGTGAGCGAGCACGTGTGCGCTTTTTCTGATTTTTATACACAAACTGCTTCACGCTTCTTGTCTTGGGGATGTTTTTTTGTTTTGTTTTGAACTCCAAATGATTCTACCTGCCACTGCTCCAGTTTGCCCAGATGAGATTAGGTCAGAGATTTGTTGACCCCGTCTCTTTATCCCCTCCCTCCCATCTGTACTTAAAAAAAAAAAAAAAAAAACCCTACACACACAATTCACCACTTCCCCCTGTCTCTAGCAGATGGCCGCGGAGGCAAAGGGAGGGCGAAAGTGCCGAGCAGGGAGACAAACGCTGGAGAAGATGACATGAACAGTCTCTTTTGCAGTAATCTTTACAGAAAATAGTAAAAGAAAGAAATATTTCCTGTCATCAAAATATCAAGCGAAGACTTAAACAATTACAAAAATCATGAAAAAAAACTGATTGTTGGTGGTTGATGATGCCATAATGTCACATTTTCGAGACAAAATAGATTAAGACAGAGGCATGCAACTGCAGAAAACGTGAAGCCAAGCAATTTTTAACAATGACGTGATTCTCTGCTATTTAAAAAATGACTTGCTTGGATATTTTTTGGTGCACTGCTAAGCTGTTGTTTGGCAAAATCTATAAAAATGTATTTAGAGGTGGATGTATTTTTGTGACGAGTTGGATCAGAAATGTCCGGTGTTTGATGGAAGTTGAAGCAACAGATTGTCTCGTTTGTCCTCCAGATGTGTCCACATGCTGCATGTTCTACCCAAAAACTCCTTGACTTTTAAAAACAAAAATTCACATCAGGCTTTCTTCGCCATTGAGATAACAAAAGCAATAAAGGTTCAAATTTTCTTCTCACCTCCCCACTTCACATCCATTTTACATGTAGAAATTTGACCACAGTAAACATATATCATGAGAAAAATAAATTCAAATTTGCTTATTCAAACCAACAATCTGATTTTATACATTTTGTGTGTGCGTTACCTGCCTTATAGCACTATATTATGTTTATGTTACCTTTCCTGAACCAGTTTATTTTTGCTGTCATGTCAACAGAAGATGAACATTTAGCCGATTCTAACACGTCATAATTTATATATTGTTATCGTAGTTAGTTAAACTAACTATAAGTAACTACTGGAGCAGAAAAAGCTCGAAAGCTACAGAACAGAAATCCTCGTTCAATCACATATTCATCCACTATTGATACTTTCAAGTAAAAACTCGTGTTTTTATTGGCTTTTCACTGCTCCTAATTGTCCTTATCTTACACATTTATTGTAATTTTAGAAACTAATCTTACAGATTGCTATCCTCCTTTGCCTGTTTTGGTATTGTAGACTACTTATACATGACTTACGAATTGATTTTACAACGTTTACATTGTCTTTGCATTCATGTTTTACATCGTCTGTCTGCACATCATCTTCTGCTGCCTATCTGACATAACTTTGGTCAACTCAGGTTGCTTTTAAACCTGCGACATAAATGATTTCCACTTAATTTGACAATGAACGTTGTATGAATGTGTTGTATCATAACAAGAATATTATCAAGCATGTTTAGTTTCAGGTTCAGACTCTTGCAGGGACGTCTTTTCCTTAAACAAGGTGAGACACGTTCTGAAGCAACATATTTAAAAATAAAAAGAGAACTGTTCAGTTAACAAACAGGAGCAGAGAATGAAACAGTGAATGTCCGGAGCAGAGTGCGACAGCTGGCTGTGGTGGGGTTGAGATGTGGGGGTCACATGCCTGCAGCAGAGGACCTTTTTTTTTTTTTTTTTTTTTAAATACTAAATCTGCTTTTCTGGCTTCAGTGAGCCGCAGCACGGGACAATGAGCTCATCATGTTGATTACCTAAGCTCAACTGGTTCGCTCTGCTCACACAGTCGCACACGTGTTCAACATTAACAGCAGAACCTGAGTGTCGGCTGGTGTGGGGATGTGGCGCAAATTTAACATATACAAACTTAACAGGAGCATCAATAACGTGAATCGTTCCTATCACCAAATTACAGGCTGTTAACTACCTAAAGCTGGCATTGAGCATCCTTGTAATCTTTGATCAAATATTATAGTTTACGATTTACATATCAAACTATGAAAATAATGTGATTTTGTGACTTTTCAGACACAAAATTTGAAAAAAATTAATGTCAAAAGGGAAAAAAATCTGGTAGATTTGGTTGATAACTGACTAAAACTATCAACAATCCAAACATTTATTCAAAATTTCTGATTTTTGATTTGCTTTTAGAGCTATCTAGATGTAATGTTAAATAACAGGGTTGTATTTAAACCACTGCAATCTATTTTATAGAAATTTGGTGCTCTTTTTATGTAGTTAAACTGCGTTAGTTAATATTTTGGGCATTTGGGTGCAACACAGCAAGTTGTAAACAGATAATAAACATATTAATTTATACAGTTGACATCGTGAAAATGTGGCTAATTTGTAGATTGAGAATACATGGAGCAACATCAGCATTTATTTTGCTGCAGTGTTTTTGCTCCTAGTCGTATATTCAGTATCCTGTTTGCTTTGTTTTGCTTTTAACCAACTTTAAATGATTAAAATGTCTGTTTAGTTGCTAAATCTTGTTGCTTACTTCCGTCTTTCTAATGGCTGGCTCTAAATAAGTAAAATTAGAGGAAGTTTTACATGTTTTTGTTTTTGTTTCCTTACTTTATTTTGGTCTAAAAACTGAGAAAAATATTAATGAAAAAGAAAAGGAAACTCCGAAAGTCTTGATGTTTCACAAGTTTAAGAAGCTCGACATTAAAATGATATAGTTTCATATATATATATAGTCTGTGTGTGTCTGTTACACACCGTACAGTGAAATCAAATTTATAATATATCAATCTCTAACTTTTTACACGACTGCATGACTTCAGTCCGGCTGTCTGCAGTCTGAGCAGCTTTCTGTTCTCTTGACTGCAAAGTATCAAACTAATAATTTAAATGCACTCTCCAGTGAGTCACTTGGGAACAGCAGCTTGGGTTTTACAGCCGAAACAAGTAAACGTTTTAAACGAGATGAGGTGGGACTGTGTTCCGGTGCAGATGGACTCACCCTCTGCAGGGTCACGGTGTACTGCTCCCACACGGTCTCCTCCATGACCGGGTTCTGTGGAGGGAAAAGGAAAGATTACCACGGGTGGTTTCATTCCACCAAACAGATTAATAATGTACGACGTGATGTAACGACAAAGTCAGTTCATTAGCCTACGCTGTCGTTACACAATCAGGAGCTCCCAGAAGAACAATGACGAGCCTTCGCCGGGCTGCTTACAGCATGTTGGACTACAAAAAACTTCTCGCTTCTGTTGATTAATTATTGATCAGAACGGTTAAACTTCAAGAACTTTGAAAAGCACACTGAGGAGGAAACTTTCTTCGGACCCACTGTTGCATGAAACCACCAACAGGTTACATGAAAGCACACGCCTGCTAAACAGAGCCAGCTAACAACCAAAACAATGACAACCTGCATAATCTGTTTCCAGCATCAACTGGACAATAATTATATTTTAATTAAGCAGTAGAATAAACGTGAGAACTCAGAGCCCAAGCTGATGTTGCGCGACAGTCAAAACTGATTTTTGCAATTGAGAAGCCAGTACTTTTCAAATTTTAACTTTATTTAATTGTATTAACTAATCAATAATTTACTCCATCCATCAGCACCACAGCCACAAACTTTGTCAAAAACACTACCTCATGGACAAACAAGTTCAAGCTGACTTCCAAAGTACACAACAACCTGAACCTCTTTACAAAAACAAACCACTGAGTCAGTGTCACGGATTTCGTTTTGCAAACTACTTACGTCATCTTTTCCCGGTTAAAAAACACCAATTTTGACCCAAACAATCCCTCTCAGCGCCACTTTTCTGCAATTCTGGATCCCTGATTTCAAAACAAAACTTGACTCGTTAAAGCAACACTCGGGTCCGTTACAGAACGAGTTGCCGCCTGAACGCAACACAGATCTGATCGAAATCCGAGCCCCCCCGGTAGCAGAACCGCACTCACGAGTCCCTGCAGGATGCGAATGGTCTTGACCGCGTGGGCCCATTTCCTGTGCAGGCTGAGGACGGTCTTCATCGTCGGCGCTCTCCGTCTCGTCCTATTTGCGTCTCTCCCCGTTCACCGCCAGCGGTGCTCTGGCAGACTGATGTGCGCCACAGCCTCCTCCATGGCCACAGCTGCACAACCACCAGCAGCTCTCTCCCCGCATCTGCCCGCCTGCCTGCCTTTGACGTAAGAGGGATTCTGCTGGCCTACATTCAGCACAAATCCCACCGTCTGCAGAAAGTGTAAACATACAGACACACCAACTCCTGCGCAGGCACGCCGTGATTAAACGCCCGAGTGTTGATCCACAAATACAAACAACGAATCGCAGATTTTTTTCATTTTGGATCCGACGTCTTCTCAAGACGCGTCGAGCGCTCTTCAAACTTTTACAAACAACGTACACGTCAGCAAACAACCGAGCCGCACCAAACGTGTGCAGAGTTCAAATTTGAGTTGAGCACAATGGCCAGGATTTTGAGTTGTTGGGGTTTTTTTCTGGGTAACTGAAGTGGAAATCAGTGTGCTGCTGACATCTCAGGCCCAGGCTTAGTGAAATGGGGGCATGACTCAGGCTGGCAGCACACCCATCATAACCCACTTTTTTGATCTTCTGGCCTACAAGGGGATACTTTAGAACCAGCGGCACAAGCAGAGAAGCTGCAGAGAGCCTACGGCGCTGTGTGAATAAAAAAAAAAAGCAGGAGAGGATATTTGTTTTGGCATTACACTTTGAAAACCAACTAGAATTCCTACCATTCTTCTTAAGTCAGAGACTGAGCCACATTGCAGAGTATTTAGCTTCACCTCAGCCAAGAGGAAACAGCATTAAGACGCCCAAGAAAGGCCAAAAAAAGACCGCGTGAGGAGACGAAACATATTAACTCACGACAATAAGATAAATTACTTGGAAGTAGTTGGTGAGAGAGCTTCGGGCAAGGCCAAAGCAGTTTTAATCAGAGCGTCTTCTTGTACTATGAGATATGACTGTGACGGCCGCTGGAAGGCAGGCCTGCTGGATAAGTCGTATTCTCCTGAGAGTGGGCCGTTACGTAACGAAACACAAACGCATTTCCACTAATGAGGAGGGAGGTTGAAATACTGGGTCATATTTGCAGGACGTGACTTAGAAAACAATTTTTCTTTCTTTCTTTTTTTTTTTTTTACAGACGGGGTTGACTCTGCACAATCCAGACACGCAGAATATGTGGATAGGGTTCGTTCAAAACACAGAAAACTGCATGAAAAATAAATTTGCTTCGGGTGATTCAAAGTCAAACATCGTACAAAATCCAGCACTGAGGGGTGGACAGATAGTTTTTGGTAAAAAGGTCAAATAAAGTACAAACATGTGTTGACTACAGTGCACAATAAGAGGAAAATCTGCGATGTGGGACGGCCTTTTTGAATATTGCATTGATGATAATATGACTTGAGATAAACAAACAAATATTATTGTTCCTTTTAGCTATACTTTTACTTTGCCTTCTGCTTTTAGGAGGTACACTGCTAATACAGGCCCCACACATAAGGGAATGAAAAATGATTTTGAACATGAAACACTCAGTATGTTTTCACAGTATTTTAACCTAAGAGATGAAAATAAGGTTGTATATCGGCTGTGCCGGAATAAACGGCCATTTAACCACTGGACTGGAGCAATATTCAACCACATTTAGCATACGTATGTGACATTAGCATGGCTTCCCAACATTAGCCACACATGTTAAACCAATACATTGTTTACTCGTAGACAGTGTGATCCCGCTTAGTCTGAAAATTTAACTCAAATCTATCACGGCAATGAATTGATCAAGATATGCTTCCATTCAACTTTGATGAAGGCAAACATTACATTTCCGAAAGTTAATGGGATGTACTGAGGCTGAATGTCTGATTCCAGATTGGACTTCTAGACTAGTCTAGATTTAAATTTCAGTTTAATCAACAGGTAAATCAGTCACTACACAAATCCCACACAAATACCAAAATAATCAAACCAAACATTGGTATAAATAAGAAATTATAGCTGTAAGAAATTGCCTTGCTTCCTTTTAAAAATTCTTTTAAACTCAGTAACACCTCCCTGACATTTCCCCTCAATATTCTCTCCTTCCTAAGCTACTAACTGTGCAATCACCACCAACCTGACATCAGTGAATCTGAAGGTAGGCGACAGCTAGCTGGGGTTTCATCTAACAGGTCCAATGTAAATGTGAATCCATAGTGCATGTACATGTAAAATAATACTTTATATTATATGCATTGAAGAGAGCCTTTAACAAATGTTTACTTCACATGTTTACATTGCTACGGTGATGAAAATACAACATCAATTTGCTCAGCACTAACACAGGTGATATATTTTTACATTCATCTCATCTTTTGCAGGCTGCAAATGCATTACTTGGCCTTACCATAAATTTAAAATCATAAATGTACCCTTGTATAAAAGATTATTACACTATTAATAGCTGGAACCAGTAAATGTTGAAAAGTATTCTTGCTTGTTTTTATTACTGAAGCAAAGAAAGCATCTTAAGCCCCATGTGGTCGAGGAGGAAGCCCTGGCATTGCTTTTGTCATTACAGCGTTTTGAAGTTTGTGTTGGTTCGAGCTCCACCCTGGTTCTTGTGTATTCAGACCACAATGCTGTGAAGTTACTGTTCAGCATGAGTGATCGAGCTGGAGGCCGATGGCATGTACTTTAAATTAGCTGCGACCTATGTCGGCTTCACCCTGACCCCTATCCTGTTCCCAAACTGTCCTGTGCAGAGCTGTGCTGTCAATATATCACTGTTTGACGGGTATTTGATTGATTTTTGTTGGGAATTATTTAAATATCTTTGTATAGAGCAGTCCTGAGAGCTATACGGGTTGTTTTAAGGGCATTTTTTTTCCTGTGTATGTCAGTGAGACAAGTAAGACTCCTTTATTTTCTTTTGCGATCTGCATTTTTAAATTTAGATTGTGTTGTATGATGTGCTTCCTGTGCTAAACCAGTCCACTCTGCCCTGGTTGATAAATGAATCAACTCTGTTTTGACAGGACTGAAGGGCTGCAAGGTGGTTAGCACTGTTGCCTCGCAGCAAGAAAGTCGCCCGTTGGGGTCCTGGTGAGGACACCCGGGATCTTTCTGCTTGGAGTTTGCATGTTCTCCCCGTGCAGCGTGGGTTCGCTCCGGGTTCTCCGGCTACCTCCCACAAGTCCAAAAACCTGTTGAGGTTAATTGGTGATTTTAAATTGTCCGTAGGTGTGAATGTGAGTGTGCTTGGTTGTCTGTCTCTAAGTGTAGCCCTGTGATGGACTGGTTACCTGTCCAGGTGAACCTGCCTTCACCCTAAATCAGCTGGGATAGACTCCAGCCCCCTCACGACCCTAGTGAGGACGAGGTGGTGTATAGATAATGGATGGATGTTTTGACTGGAAATCTCTGTTGCAGCACTGGGTCATGAAAAGAAGGGATTTAGTTTTTACACTATGTTCAGTTTCTTCCTTTCCCAGATGTAACACAGATTCAAAACTGCTCTTCTCTTTTCTTTCCTGCTCATCAATCAGTCAGTACCAAACTGTACTGAAACTATGCAGCACAGAACAAGATACCAACATGTACAGTACAGCGTGAACAGCACAGGAAAAAACATGACTCACTTTTTATCTGTTTCCCTCCCAAATACTTTTAGATTGGACTCGGCGTAATAACAAGTTGTTCAAGCCAAGAACTTGTGGTTCACAGATTAGACAGCGGTAACATAATTCAGGGCCATTCTTTGTATGATATCGACTTGTTTAAAAACATTTTGCAACATTTTTAGAAAGCTGTGTAAATGCATTTATTATCATCAACTCTAAGCCTTGTCTGTCATTCAGTAGTTATTCTGGTTTTTATTTTAAACCCTAAACTGGTGAAAAGTCATTAATTAAGCAGCCTGAGTGTGTCAGTGTTTGTGCTGGTTGAGAGAAATGTTGTGTTAGTCTGCCATCTGCTGGAGACACAACTGCAGTACAAGTGAGGCACAATAAACAACACACCACTACATTAAGGGTCAA